CATATTGACTTTTCTCTTCTATTTCTTTCAGTTCTTCATTCTCTTCTTTCAGTGCCATCAGGTCTAAAGTGAAAAAAGGCAAAAACAAGTTAATGGCAGTTTAATGGCTTAAAGCAACAGACATCAAAACTAAGATAACATATCAAAACATCAAAACTAATGTTATGCCACAAAACTAATTGTTGCATAACAATTAGTAAAATTACGGTTGAACCACTGATGTCACATAGGCTGTTTTAACAATGTCCTTACTATGTTTTTGGGCCTGAAAATATTTCAGTTACATTGCTGTCTCTGGAGGATCAGAAAGTCCTAGGATTTCATCAGAAAAAAATCTTAATTTGTGTTCCGAAGATGAGCGAAGGTCTTATGAGTTTGGCATGAGGGTGAGTGATTAATAACAGAATTTTCATTTTTGGCTATTCAAATTGATCAAGGTCCAGAAACATCGCAAGGAGATCAGTAATAAAATCGACGTCAAATCTGCAATAGGGCCGATACTCGGGAATCAGCACTCTCTTGGTCGCCTCATGATGCTTAACTAGGCTACATCATGTTACAAATATAAAAACTAAATTTTTATCATAGTATGTTTGTTTTGTGAGCTTCTTTGTCTGTGCTGTTGCGCTCATTTGTTTTGATTTCTCCACGAGAACAGACTGGCTGCGCAAGCCTCGACTGGTGCGACTGTTACTGTCAATAAATTATTAATTACCTATTGTCATGTATAATGAATGTAATAAAATAATTCACAGTCATTCTCGCTGAAATTGCTCAATTGGACTACACGATTTCTTTCTGACTTTATGCAATTTACATTCTCTGCTCTTAGTTTTACTCCTACATGTCCCATTCCGCCACTGTCTAAACATCCGGCGTTATGGCAATTTCCCACCGACTGGAGGCGATTACCAAACTGGTTTTGCGTATCACACTGATATACATATTTTGCAACAGCAAATGAAAAAGTTATTAATTATGAAGGCGCTATATTCAAAATAAAGTAGTAATATTTTTTTTTCCAAACCATCTAAAAAAGATTTAATGCCTGTAGAAATAAATGTAATGACTTTTAATGCTATTTAAGGCCTTAATTTTTGCAAAATTCATTTAATGACTTTTAATACTTTTTAATGCCCCGCGGAAACCCTGTCAGGGCTTGCACAATTTCAAAATCCCTGGTAGCCCTTCGGGCAGGTACTCTTCAGATTTTGGTAGCCCGAAAATTTATTTAACTAGCCCAAATAAAAAAAGACCCTTTTTTTTTAAATATAGAAAATTAGATAGGAGTTTAAATGTCAATCAAAAATATTTTCAATACACAAATATCAACAAATACGAAGGAATTTTATTTCACTATTTACAGGGTATCTGCAGAATTTGTCAAAATAAATTTAAGGTAATTTATGACCCATTTTAAGAGCTGCAAAAGTAAAATGAACACCGTGTGAGTGGGGTTGGACTATGGTAACATACAGTATTGAGCCATAAAATTACATGATTTAGTTCAGATACAGGTTTTCACAAAAACAAAAATCTTGTACAACAGCATTTCAGCCTTTAGACCATTTTTATGAAAAGGGATAAATCGAGCATATAAATTGTCAATTTAAAACGTATAAATATTCATTTATAAGTCTTATATTAATCTTATATTATAAATCCAAGACTTAATATAAGTCTTAATTGTTTAGATTTTTAGAAGGCACTAGGGCTGTCACGATTATTAAATAACCGTATGATCGCAATTGTTTCACATAACCGCGGTCGTTGTACCCAACCGCAATTATTGCGCACTTTTATTAGCCACAAGGGGGAACTGTAGTACCTGCAGCACCCTACTTCCAACATGCTTGCTCTGCACGCATTACGCTAAGCAAATACGCGTTAAGTTCAAATGACACTGTTCTGCGGAGTTTTGAATCACTGAGCCATATCAGTGCAATTATACAGCAAAGATGGATTTAATATCGAAGCCGAAAACGACGGCACCTGTCTGGGCACATTTTGGTTTTAAACCTGACGAAAAAGGACGGCCGAAAGACATTGACACAGCAGTGTGTCGAATATGTTAAAGAGAAATACCAGCGAAAAGCGCCAACACCACAAATCTTAGAAACCATCTGAAGACACATCATCCCACTGAATTTGCCGAAGTTTGCAAGGCATCCAAAACCGCACATACATCCCGTCAGCTGCCAATAGCGGAGGCTTTCGAACGGGTAACGAAATATAAACTTGACAGCATCAAATGGCGCACACTGACAGACAGTGTTACTAGGTACATTGCGAAGGAAATGCAGCCGTTTAATACGGTGGAAAAAACAGCATTTAAAGAAATGCTGCAGAACTTCGACAACAAGTATGAATTGCCAGGAAAAACATTTCCAAAACGGCAATACCGAATTTGTACAATCAAGTGAAGGAAGATATTGTTACAGATCTGAAACAAATTCCTTTTTATTCCGCTACTACAGACATCAAACATGACTCCGTACATGAGCTTTACAGTTCATTACATCACAGCTGACTGGACTCTATAGTCAAAATGTCTAGAGACAAGGTACACCCCAGAAAACCACACAGCTGATAATCTAGCAGAAACTCTTAAGTGTATTTTATCGGACTGGGAATTAGATGAAAAAAAAATGTCTTGCATTACCACAGATAATGGAGCTAATATTGTGGCTGCAGTGGGCAAACTTGGTTGGCCATGGCTAAATTGCTTTGGCCATAATCTCCATTTGGCTGTCACAAATGCTGTAGCAAGTGAGAAAGAGCGCACAGCTCGTGCCCTAGGACTGTGTAGAAATCTGGTAACCACCTTCAGTATGAGTTGGATAAAGAAAAGAGACCTGAAAAAGGCACAGACGGAGACCAACATCCCCCAACATAGTTTAATTCTGGTGAGTGAAATATTTTATTACTATCTATCTATCTAATAAAAATGACATTACAGTTTCAGATACAAATATGAGAATTTCAGAGAAATAAGGATTAATGTTTATATTATTTTACACTACATTCATTATTATTATTATTATTATATATAATTATATGTCTAAAAAATTAATTAACGTAGTGTAAAGTGATATAAATATGAATCCTTATTTCAAATTGAAATTATCACAAATTTGTATCTGAAACTATTTTTGTAATGTAAATGTAGTTATTAACAAAACTATACCAAATATGTCATTTTTCCTCCAGGATGTTTCTACCCGATGGGGTACGAAGCAAAAAATGATTGACAGAGTTCTGGAACAGCTACCTGCAATCAGACGTGTCCTGATTGATGACAGAAAACATGGGCACCTGAACCCGACCTGGCAGGATTTATCTGTCCTTGAGTCCATTAATGCAGCACTGAAACCTCTGGCTGATTTCACTGATGTTTTTTCAGGGGAAAAGTATGTGACAGTGTCTTCAGTGAAGCCTGTCCTGGACCTTTTAAAAGGGGAACTCTTATCCCGACCCCAAGGACACAATTCTAACAGAAAATATCAAGACAAAAATGTGTGCTGTTCTTGATCAGAAATATAGCCCAGCTAAACTTCAAGAACTCCTGAGAAAGGCCACCCTTCTCGACCCAAAGTACAGGGGTCACTTTGGAGAAGCAGCAATCATAAGTGACACCAAAGATGAGCTTTTAAAAGAGATGATGGAGATGACAGAAGAAGGACAAGAGGAAGGTGGAAAATGCACTATAAAAATATTTGACAAATGTTATGTGAATATATATTTTAAGATATATACTTTAAGATAACCGCTGCCCTTCACTCTTTACAGTGTCTAACGAAGCAGTGGTAGAAGATGTGGATACAACACCTCCTGCACCAAAAAAGATCAAAAGGCTGTGTGATCTACTGTAGCACAGAAGAGCTCAATTATCTACCCATGTGTTGCCAAAAAGAGTGCAAGCTGATGCTGAACTGACACGGTGCCTACAGGAAGAGGCATTAGATACCTCAGCAGATCCTCTGTTGTGGTGGCGAGATAATGAATCCAGGTTTCCTTTAATGTCCAAATTGGCAAAAAAGTACATTTGCATTTGTGCAACAAGTACTGCTTCAGAAAGAATGTTCAGTACAGCTGGCAATATTGTGACCCCAGTTAGATGTTGTCTGAAGCCAGAGAAAGTCAACATGCTAGTGTTTCTTTCCCGTAATCTACCAATCCATTAAGGAGCAGGGTCAGCCTTGTTCGGAAATGTGACATTTATGGCCTGCTCTGTTATGGTCATAGTTTATTGTTTTTTTTTTGTGTTATTTACAGAATTTTCAAATATGTGAATATGGTTTTATTTGGAATCTACAGTCTTTTCTTATGGTCACTGTATTGTGATGGCTTCTGTTATTTACAAAAATTTAATATTTCTGAAAGATACAGTATATATTATTCATTGAATAAATAACTTTATTAAATGTATTTAAATGTGCAAAGTGTGTTAATTGTATACTGCAAACAATTAATCGCCAAAGCCCTAAAACAAACAATTAATCGCTAAAGTACAAAAACAGGCAATAAATGGTCATAATCGCAATTATTTATTTGACAATTAATCGTCACCCAAATTTCATAATCGTGACAGCCCTAGAAGGCACATTAACTTCTTTCTCATTTACAACTCCATGTGTTTGCTGCGTAAAAACATGAGTTGATGTTTGCATTGATCTGAATATTAACAGCAAGAAAGGCTTATTGGAAATTAAAATACATTCTCTGCCACGAGGTGGTGCTTTAGGAGCGCTGAAATATTGCAGTTTCCTCGGTAACGGCTGTACACAAAGCAGCTCCGCGCTCATAAACGCTGCTTTATCAGGAATTATAGGTCAAATGAAATTAAAATACCAACGACACGTTTCTGCGGACAGTCAGTTCCCTTCAGATACATTCAAATAAAGACATCCGCGCCGCGTTTTGACTTGAAACATGCATCGCTTATATTTATCAGGGGTTAAAGCAAAAAAACAATCCTGAGCCTGAACTGTTTTCAGGGGGTTGGGGTTTGCGGGGGCGGACACATACACGGGGTTATTTGGCAAAAAAAAAAAAAGAACATTATTTGAAAATGAGTAAATTAAATACTAGAAAATGAATATAAAATAAGAAATATACAATGACAGTTTACTACAGAAAACTACAGTTCAGTTAAAATAACAACAACAGAAACATTAAAATGGTCCATGAACTGGTAACTTAAACAGGGTTCGTACAGATACTGCAAAATAAAATTCCAGGACTTTCAAGGACTTGCACTACTTTTTTGGTTTTCAAGGACTAAAATCAGATCTCACTTATCAATCAATATTGTTATTATCTTTCAAATTCTAATAAATAAACTAATAAAACAAAATGGTACAAATAAAGTGCAGCACATGCAAAGAATGCAATGACTGTGGCAACTTTAACATTTGAAAGGATACTATGGCAAAGTTATCGCTTTCCTTATTCAAACTGATTTTTTTTTTGCATGAATATATGATTGACCTGAAGAATGAAAGCTAGTGAGTAATCTGATGTTTTTTAGTAATATAAATAGAATTAAGTGAAAAACAGGCTTTAATATGACTATATTTATATATAAATTAACGATGAGGCAATAATAAATGGCCTCAAATAAAGTATCAAAACCAGGTAAATGGTTTTATTGAACAACACTGTTAAATACATAATGTAATATGCCTATATTATAACAAATGCCTACAGAGGGCGCCAACTGCCTGGTGATGTTTCATGTATTTCAACGATGTTTAAATCCATTTAATTTTAATCGGCGACGACAGGCGACAACCAACCACCTCATCAAATGCGCTTACAACAGGATGTTTCAGAATGGTAATTAATTTTTTATTTTATTTTTTAAAAACCGAAGGCAGTAATCTACGTAACTATTGCTTTCCTACTGATACAACACGTCAGCATCAAGTTAGCAACACGTTAGCGTTGCATAACCGTTTACAAACTATAGTTTCAGATTATGCTGGCTCCATAATGTAACATAAAATGTGTGAGAAGTTTACTTACGGGTTGTGGATATAACATAATGCCTGTTATATTCAGTGTTGGGAGTAACGCATTACAAAAGTAATAACATTACAGTAGTATATTACATTTTGCTGTAACGCAGTAATATAACGCATTACTAATAAAATTTGGGTAATATTATTACTCTAAGCTATCGGAGAGAGCTGCGGGGTCGGAGAACAGAAAAAAGGCGGCGGACGAGCGCAGACAAGCAACAAAAATTACGTTTAACTAAATATAACAAAATCAGTTTTTATTAAATCATAGTCTATATGTAAAATGAATGAATATGTGAAATATTTGACTTAAATAGCCTAATTAACAGATTAACAAAACGAAAGGAAAAGACAGAGATATGCTGCTGAGGTTGGTTCATAGGCTATTTGTGTGGCGCAGCGCTCTATGAAAGTCTGTATGTATAAATTTCTCATATGCCACTGTTATTAGTGATATAACTTTAATGCCAACTGCCAAATATGACACTTACAAATTAATACAATTTATGAACGCACATAGAAAAGAGAGAAAGTAGGGATTTTTTAAATTTTTTAATTAAATTTGTATACATTTTTTTACACATCCATTTAGTCATTTTTTCTGACCATCAAGAGACAGTCACTCTCAATGCCAACTGGCAGGAAAACATGGTACATTCTAACTATTTTTTACAATAGATAAAGTGCTGACAATTCATGTCGACGATAGCCAGAGATATTGTCAAAACAAAGCATTAAAAATTGGCAATATTAAGAGGATTTAGCATTTCCAAGTAATGTAGGCCTGTTACATTCTTCTTATTATTAGGCCTATTATTATTATTAGGTTACTTTTATTATTAAATTACAATTAGTTTGCCCCGCAATAATTTCTTAGAGCATCACCGCATAAGGATGTGAGGATAATAAAAGATTAGGCTATTTCTCATTGAAAATGTTTTTAAAAAGGTCTTTTAAAACAGGTCCATTAATGAATGCAATGAATTATAGGCCTATAATTAAAATTATTAACACTGCAGTCATCAAT